CTCTTTCACTGTAGGAAGCAGATTAAAACTCCAATAAACAATACACAGAACTGAAGAAAGCTTGAGACAAGCACTCTACTTGCCTAGGCAGAGCAGGAATTTTATAGCACTGAAGGGGAATAAAAAGCTCCTTTTCATAAAAAAGAAAGCTCTCCCATTCAGCATGCACAAAAACTCCCATTTAGCGCACACACTCGCACACACAATGAGAACAAAAACAATAACTGAGCCATCCCTGGGAGAATAGAAACCTGGAGAGGGAAAATTCTGAGCAGTTACCATCACGCAGGTCATCTTACTGCTGCCTCCAAAGTGATCAAAGTGCCCATTCCTGTGAATCTTTACAAGCGTGTAAAACCTATGTATGTGAATAATCCCACCTCTATGGATTTCACTATAACATTTTTTCTGGTCACCCGTGCAGCACCCCATAATTCAGAGGGAACATAGCAATCATTACAGTAGTTAACATTGACCAGTACTGCTCTTTGTGGTTCTAGAGATGTTTGGTAACAATACTTGTAATATATGCTTTGTTCATTAATCTAAATATATTTTACAAATGCTGTAGAAACCTATCACTGCCTTATCTCCCTGCTTTACAGAGGAGGAAACCCACGGAGAGATTAAGTGACTTGCCTAAGGTCATAAGTGCCAGAGTCAAGAAGAGCAGTAAGTACACCTGATTTGCTACTACAGTGCTATATTCAATGGAACATGTTGCTCTCATGTCTGGTTAATATGTTTATTTACTGCAGCTTATCTGTCAGATTATGATGTTCTGTTCATTTAAAAGGACACTGCAAACAAGCCAGACTGAAAGTATTCATGTATTTTTATAGCCAAAAATCCATCAGATATACTTATAAGCATTCAGATCATCTATCCTATAATAGATGCTCCATCATGAGCATAATCACTATAGAAAACTAAGATAGGAAAAAATAGGATAATGTCAAAATACCATAGCCACAGTGATGGCTGCTTCATTGTACTGTACTTGCATGTGGGTTTTTATAGGTTTTTCTATAAAACCGAGGCTAGCAGGTGCAATTCAGTTTAATAAGGTAATAAATATTTCAGAATGACCCTCCTTGTGTCTTAAAATGATCTCTGGTGTTAAAGTTTAACAGTTGGGCAAGTAAAATAAAACTAAAGTTCTGCACAGGAACTCTGTGAGTTCAGGGGAGAGAAACTTTCAGCAGGGTTACCCACTGAGCCTTACTGTCCCAGCCCATATGACACTTGTTTCTGGGGTTTGTCTTGGCTTTTACTATCAGAACTTCATTCACACATTGTCTCCTGGCTAAGTACAGAGGTTCAAAAAGCCCAAGGTGGAATTGGTTGAAGCTTTGCAGGTTTTTCTAAGCTGTATAGCTTAAACTGAACTGATGTTCAATGTTTGGGTGGCCAAGATAGGCAGAAGCCTGCACCTGGCCCAGGCCAGAAGCCTTGGGCACTCATATACGCCACCTTTCCTAGCCAGTTGCCTAAAGCTGCCAAACCTAGCCCACCCCCAACCTCTCCAGGCTGCCATGTGCTGACAGGGAGCAGAGGCCTTACTCTGTGCTAGCTGGGGAGGGGCCAGCCCTACTTCACTGGAACAGACAGCACAGCCCAGGGCTGCAAAGCATTCTGGGAAGGGGGGCTGTGAGTTAACTTCAATCAAGAAGGGGTCTGGGACAGAAGTTCAATAAACTGGCTTGACCTAAATTAGTTAAATCTCATACTACATCCAACCAGGTTTATTTTAAAGTGGTTTCGGCCATTTTGAAAGTGGTTTATGTGCACTGAACTTCTGTTCTGTTACGGGTTTAAACCAGTCTTGAATCACTTAAACTGGTTTGTGTGTAACTTCTGTCCCTAGCCCTTAAACTATTTTGTTTACTGGAGAATTTGATAGCTCACACTGAATTCACACAAAACAAACCCATCCAAACCACCTTTCTTATTAGAACAAAACACAACATGTGCCGCTGCCCTTCTTTCTGTCTTTTAGAAGCTTACTGGCTAGAAATTTGTTGTTTTTTCAAGAGGAAGACAAAAACCATTTTTTGTAATCATCATATATAGTTTGATTTAATGACTGTTACAGAACAACTTATTGGTAGCTGCTAGATGATGATGGTATGGGAGTACCAATCTAGTGGGGATACAGATTGAGTTTGTTAGTTCACAGTTTGTTTAATTAAAATGGAACATCAAAAAAAAAAGCTGTTTTCCTCTCAGTTTCAGAATGTTATATTTCATGTTGAGTACACTGCAGTCACCAAATATATCATGGTTTTCATGTGAATTAATGTCTTTCTTGCTGGCGTGCTTCATAAGCTAACCTATACATCATCAGTGAAATGCAGCCACCTCTGGGTTGCAGGGCAGCAGACAAATGAACAACTAGAATACAGCATTAGTCATAGGAAAGTGGTGTGCAGTCTAATTTGTATGAAAACTGGCAAGGGAATCTCTAAACTCAGTGCAGAGTAAAAGACTTGAATTTTAAGAGGTTTTCCAAAATGTTAGTTTGTAATGACATAATAGCTATGAAACAGAAACTGTTTCCAGGTTTGAATTTACAGATACTATTTTAAGAGGATTTTCAGAGACTGACAGACCAGCAAAGGGTATTTTACATCTGAGCATCTGCACGTGATGTGCTGGATGGCACATGTAAAGAATTCCCTGAACACAACTGCAGAAGGACTTCTCTCAAGTATCATCTTAAGCAGAAGGTATAATGTTTTCTGGGACTTCAGTTAAGTCCCAGAGAGAAAAGAGATTCCTCTCTCCCTGCTCAATCAACTTCCTCAAGATCTTCCTCTTTGCATGAATTACTGTAGGAAAACTAAGCCAATCACTTTAAGCTTGTTTCCTCTGACATGTTTGGTAGAGACTGATCTTGGAGTGGTACTTCTTTCAAGTGTTTCTCAGACACCACAGTGATGGCAAGGACCCATCTACAAACCGACATCACTTGGTCATTCCTGACTTAAATTATCAGGCTCCTTTCCACAGTGGGCCTTCCCTCACACTGAGCTGGGAAATGGTACTTTAAGTGTTAGCTGTTTACTGATCATTTATCCCAAAAGGTTCACAACAGTCACTGCATCCTGTGGCATTGTGCTTTATGGCACTGAGCACCCCCAAGTAATGAAAGTTATTGGGAGCTGAGGGGGTGAACTGCTATAGTACAAAAATAAAATCCCCACAAACCACACACTATTAGTTGACATACGATTCTTCCCTGGAAACTATATGGAAATCCTCAAAGAATTGCAACCCATACTAGAAGACTCAATTCTTAAAGTGATCTTTCCAGAACCACTCATCCTAGCTTTTAAACAGGCACTGAACCTTGCCAACCTCATCACCAGAAGAAGCCTCCTGTGGCCCAAAGCACATCAAATGGATCCAGAACATTGGGACAAAAATGTAAAACCTGCCAACACATCTCCACCACTCCCTCAATAAATATGTTCCACAACAGAACCATCACTATTCCTGGATCTTACGCCTGCACCGCCAGAAATGTAAGCTCTCATCCAGAGCACTAAATGCCCTGATGGAAATACGTAGAAGAAACCAAACAACAACTGCATACCAGAATGAACACACACCAAAAATCTATCAAAGCCAAAAATGCCCAATGACCTGTGGGTGCACATTTCTCACAAGACAGCAACTCTCTCTCCAATCTCTCAGTTTTAATTCTCAAAGGGAATTTACAAAACACCTTTTGTAGACAAGCCTACAAGCTTTACTTCATAAATCCACTGGATACAAAAAATCATGAACTACATACAGACATTGGAATGATGGCACATTATAACCTGTCTGCTATCTGGTAACCCCGGGTAACCGCTCTACATTTTACCAGCTACATGTGGGGTGCAGACAGAAGTGCAGCTCCCAGCTGTAATTCAGAATGCTTTGCAGGAAGTGTTCTGAATTACAATGATCCCCTGGACCAAACAGAAGTTCACTGTTGGTTCCCTGGGGGGAGGGGAAGCTAGCTGCTGGCTGCAAGACTGCAGCTGGCTTCTCCTAGCAACAGCCCCTCCTTCCTGCCATCTCCCTGCCAGCCTGCACTGTTTTCAGAATGGGAGGGGGGAAAGGGAGTGGAGGGGGCTCATTCTAGGGGTTCCCAGCCAGTGCTGGAGGGTGGTGGTGGTGGGGTGAGCTGCAACACCACCATCCAGTGGGGGCTGAAAAACCCCCAGACTGAAGTCCTTCTGCTCCTTTCCCCATGCAGTGAGGGTTCATATGATCAGCCATTTTTGAAGTGGTCTGCAGCTGTGCACTTGTGTTTGGTCATGACTGTAGACTCTTTTCTGTGGCCGGATTGGGCAAAAATTGTTACTTCTGTTTGACATTTCCCCCTTTTGTCCTCCCCCATCTACTTCTCTCATAATCCATTAACTCCTATCCCCTCTGATTTTCCCTGCCATGCATTTGCATTTTCCAGACCTACATTTTGTGTATTGGCTTAAGTTTCTATTTGACCCTAGAGAGAAGACAAACACCAGCAGACTCTCCGTAAGCCTGAAGAAAGGCACCTCTGTGCAAAAGCTTGCAAAGAACATTTTTTTTTCAACTACTCACTTGGTATAATAAAAAATATCACATTTCCCCAAATAACCTCATCTGCCAGCGGGAGTTGAAAGCACGTTAAACCACGGCAGAATCAGATTTGACACTAGGATTCAGATTCTGTTGTTCACTGAATCACTATATTCAGCACTGAAATGAAGGGTAGAACATGAAAACAAAACATCTGATTTCCCTTTTTATTCTTTCAACCTCAAATGGAGTAACAGACCCTGAGGGGAAAAATGTTTTAAAATTATTAATATATGTCTGCTCTCAATTTCTGCTGTCACCATCCCAGGTAACTAGAAAAACTTCCAAGCACTGAGCTTCAATATTTAAAGTTTCCCTATAGCTTGAAACAACAGATATTGTGTGTAATACAACAAATACAATTCTAGAAGCCCCAAAGTAACAGGAAGAAGAAAAAAGATCCATAGCAACTGAATGAAATGGCATAGGCTGAGCTTGGTGTTTTGATAATGATTATTGAAAGTACAACAGGAAAATAAGTTGAAATACTTTATGGAATAAATATTCCATTAATTTAAGAGAACACTAAAAACCGATTCTAAATAACTATATGATATTATAAATCTCTTATCAGGGGTTTAAAGTTGCTCCACACTGAAACTTGGCCTGGGCAAAAACCTCCATAAAAATAATATTTTGCTTTATTTTTCAGATTTAAAGAAAATAAGTTTTAAGTGGTAAACTGCAACAACAGAAATCCTTATTGGGTTAACATGCTCAAAACACCTCACCATCAACAACAAAAACAATAATTCAACCTTAATTTGGCCCTGATGTACCTGTCCAGTGTGATACAATCTTCAGTTTTACATTATATCAAACTGATTTTTTTCCATAGGTCCATTCCCTTTGTCAAACCAAATGTCTGCAGAGTATCTATATTCTGATTTTTCCAGAGATTTGTAACTTGGTTATATCTGGGCAGATTTTCACAGCTGGAAAAAGCACACTCCTAACACTCAGCTGAGACCCATGCAACATTTCAGTTCCCAGATTCAAAGTTTGGAGGTGATACATTTTTTTCAATGAAGCAGCTCAAGAGTGAACATGG